AACTGAGTAGAAGAGTAATGAACAAAGTGAGGGACAGAGTGGACTAAAAGGCAGAAACTGGGAGCCCACGAGCAGGAAATCATACGTGGGTCTGGTGGGGTCCATGACAAGCCCTCATTTATCATGGGTCACTGTGCCATGCTAAAACAACTCTTACACCAATGCTTACCCGTTCCCAAAAATTGTTCTGGTTATTGCTCTATGATCACACACAAATAATAAAGCTTCACATAAATACATATCTTCCAACAGCATTGAAGTGTAGAGTGTGTAGAGACACTATGCTGTGAAGCCAACTGATCAATCCATACTTTTCTTTTACATCTTCTTTGCCTCCTAGAGATGTTGAATTGGGCGTTGAATGAGAAGTGGAGGAGTTTGTTGGAGTTGGAGAAGATGTGGAGGAAGGTGTAAGGAAAATAAGCAGAAGAAAAATAGAGACAGAAAGGAGGAAATGAATTATTAGCCCGAGCCAGATGGAGGGCTCAACACATGGTTTATTATCTTACGAAAGCAAGGTGTTGTGTGATGAGGCCGAAAGCTGTTGTCTCTCAGACTGACAGCCTCCACATCAGGAACCTGGCTGAGACTGCACAGCTCCTGATTATACTAATAAATACATCAAGGTCCATTTTGGGGGTATTTCAAAGCTGTATCTCTACCTGAAACAGACAATGTCTTAACTGCTTTGCAAAATTGTGAAAACTCATCTGCAAGTCATTTAAATGTCAGTTCTGAAGAAACAGGCATTCAGACGTCACAGTGATTTACCTAAGTGCAGTTACAGTCTGTTCCGCACAGCTAATGTGTCCTGCAATCCCTTTATCGCCTTTAATGCTGTGTGGGAGAGACCGATTTATCACCACAGAAACATGTGAGAAATGATGCGAGCGTGGGTCGGAGTGCTGCTTCAGGAGCAGTAAGGTGAGAGGGACACACATGCTACAGGCAGGCTACTGCCGCGCTGCTGACAATTTACCGACGGACTTTCAATTTATGACTTTATTCTGCAGCTTATTCCATTTGCCACACAGGAGGGCGAATTCTCCGGCAGACACCTAATTCTGTGACAAATTTGGAGATAGTGGAACCCTCGGGGGACTAATAAATGGGTTTCCAAGCTGTCAGTATTGTTGTGTTGACACTGCATCTCACAGCACTTTACCAATTTTCCTGGATCGCACGTTTCACTGATATCAAATATGTGACACTGGGTTCTTGGGCGTCTCAGCCAGAGAGAGATTTGTCCTGATAGAAGTCATCTTCTGCCTATTCATACTGTGTCCCCACTGTCTACAGCATAGTCAGCACTGCTACAGCCCCACATTTATTCAACACAGATGCATTTCTCCTGTTTCTCTGCCTTCCCCGTTTTATTAATTATTTGCAGCGTTGCGTGTACAAACAACGTCTGCATACTGTATGTACATTATACACTGGTGAAGAAAAAAAGAGGATGAGAAGGGGAGACAGACTGCACTGTGCATGGCACATGCCACGAAGCCTGTTGCACTGAGCTGCCAGGAACCTAAGCAATCTGACATTTTTATCCCTGTTGACTTCTCCACTCGCCCTTATCCTTCCCTCCTCCCTGCTGTGTTCTCTTCCTGTCCTGTGACTGAACCCAGAGCATGGACTCACAGTGATATTGGCCGTGTGGGCCGCTGGTGTGATATCTGAGCAAGCGGGAAAAATAGATGAGCGCCCTTGACTTTAACACACTTTGTCCTTCTCCAGACACTAATGAAGTAAGAAAAGAAGAAAGCAGTGAATGTTGTTGGCTTTCATTCTCTAAAAGCATTTTGGAATTCTGGGTCTCTTGGAAACTTGAATGAATGAACGTGAATAATGAAAAGCATATGCATAAGAAATGAATTACTTTTGACTGTTCGGTGTTTTGACTATCATGACTTCCACTCCTCTTTTTGCATCTGTCTTCCTGCTTATATCTACTATTCAAATGCTATAAACCGAACATGCAACAACCATGTACGGTAGGGCTGTTAGGTTATGCAAAACCCACAGTTCGGTACGTACCACGTTACTAACATCCATGTTTGGAACATTTTTAATATGAAGAAATAATACATTAATCTTTCCATTTCCTAACAAGCTGCTACCAGTGGGACAGCTGGTTATACCATAACAATCTCTCTAGTTTACTTAAAAACCCAAGGGTTGCCAAACAGCTGACATGAAACGATCATCATACAAGGCTCATCTGTGCTTACTGCTAGCTAATGTAAAATTTTTCCGCTGATTGCATTAGCTTGGTCAACCCCAATTAAGTAAACTTGCTGGTAAATTGGAATGATTTTAGCGAGCAGCGTCCGGGTCCATGGGAAGTCAAATTTTTCCACTGATTGCATTAGCTTGGTCAACCCCAACATACAAACAAAACAAATATGGTAGTACGCACGCACTTAAAACTTGGCCAGGACATTGTGATGACATTGAACGTCCAGTATCTAACAGTTTGGTATGAATGCATGTGTCATTGTAGCCCTACTTTAATGTTAATATGCTTACACAGAAGTCCAGAAAAATGTAGGGTCACTTATGTTCTGGAGTGCGTTGTAGCAGACATCTGTAGAGTTCATTGACTTTGCGATAACACGACAAAGATATGACCTTTGGGTGAGCATCTGCTGGGAGAGGGAAGCCAAATATAAACTTTTACTGGACCATGCAGTGGAGCTAACTGAGTAGTTCTCCTACCCCGCTGTCCTTATCCTGCCCCACCTCAACCTCAGCCATCGATCAGGAACTAAGCACTGTTTTTAATTGGTTGGACGAGGTCGATTGCCCGTGCAGGCAGCGAGAGGCCCAAAGGGTTATTGGAGACCGTGGAATGAGTGTGAGAGTGAGAGAGAGAGAGAGAGAGAGAGAGAGGGGTGAGAGAGAAAGAGAGAGAGAGTGTGTGTAGGCAGTGGAAACACCACAAAGTCGGCATCTTCCTCAGAGCAATCATCACCATTGTAATGAAGTGAAAATCTGCAGTTCAGAAAACCACTGACCCACTGATTAACTGACGACTGAGAGAAACAAACAAACTAGCCGAGCATTTTCTTGCTCCTCCCTCGCTCTAACTGGATCAAAAAAAAATTATATATATATTATATTTGGGCCTTTTTTTCCATTCTGTGCTGGGAAAGAAGAAAATTCTCAAAGCTGGTCGTACAGTGTGTTCTAGAAAAGCACGGGACGGTGTAAATTCATGCAGAATCGGAGTGAAGACGCTGAGTAGCTGACAGGAAAAGCAGATGTTTGCAGTGATATGCTGTCATCGCAGGCATGTGGGATAACTTTGATGTGAGTAGACTTTCACATCGGTTACCATGACACAAAACTCCTCAGTTATGTAAGTGTTTAGTGAGAAGAATGTGTCATCATTAGCAAAAAAAAGGCAGGGCTGATAGATCTGCCAGCTTTGCGGAGATGATTTATTTAGGAAAGTAAAAAGAGTAATCAAAGCTGCTTTTGTAAGTAACACCAATGAAATAAAATGGCGCGATCAAAAGCTTATGTAGTTGCAGCAGTTATCATTTTTTTAAGGAAGAATAAAGAGCCAATTAATAAACAGCATCTTTAACCAAACCCCAATGTTCCTCAATTGTAATTGATACATCTCATGGAGCTGGATGAAGATTTATGATTGTGTCTAATGTAGGAAATTATATTAAAATCTGCTAATGAGAATCAGTCGGAGACTGCTGTTGTTTCTCTGAGTCTTGTGCAACTTGTGTTCAAGTTCCAAAATAAAAACTTAAACTCTCACAACGATAAAAACAACCGCTCATTACTCAGGCTTGATTCAATAATGGAGGCGGCTTCTGTGTGACCTACATGTACAAGTCGCTTCACGTGAACGGACAGAGTCAGAGTGGTCTGAGCCCCGACACATTTGTCACAAAGTCACAGGTGTTAATTAGCTGGAAATAGACACTTTAAACGTGAGCGTGTACTTATCCAGTTTGTCTACGGCCGTCATCTGCAAAGGTCAGTCATAAAATGTTATGCTCTGAGTTGATTGTGGTTGTAAAAGTTGTGTATTTCCAGCCCAATAAACTATATCAGAGGAAAGGAAAATAACTCCACATTACGACATCTTTCTTTGATTTATGGTCGACTTCAGCCTGATTAAAGTTTGACTTTCCATCTAATTCTGCTTCAAACATGGATTTAATTTTACATTGTGTGAGGATTTAATTTCAAATAAATCAGAAACGTTGTTATTATGGGTTAGTTCATGGGATAAACTGCGGTTTGTTTGCAGCGTTACAGACTCGGTACAAAGGCGACATTGACCACGTGTGTCTTACTTGTTGCAGAGGTGCGTGTTCATCACGAGGTGGCTGAGGTCTGAGTCCGCCGGAGATCGTGTAGTTCTGGAAGATGTGTGGACACAGAAGAATGACCTCATTACTCATCTGCAAAACAGATGAAAGCAAACACAGTGTCTCACACTTGTCACAAATAATGAGCTTCAGTGGGCCACGCTAAAGACACTGAGATTTACATTTATTACACACAAACACGCAAATACTGACCTATCAACACAAGTCACTGCAGTCTTACAGTAGAAAGTCATTAGTCACGAAGGAGACAAAGAAGAAGGAAAGAAAAACAACAAGTTGAGTAACTGTTTTGTTTAAATAGAGAAATAAAGAGAGAAGGATATGGATTTTTTTTTTTTATATTCTAAGATTCAACCAGTTGTTTCCAAGATGGGTGCCCCCCCCCCCACCTCGAGCTACTGCAGAAGGGTAAGTGGCAGGGGGGAGTTCATGGTTGTATACAGAGCCAAGCTGGACACTGAAAATGAACATAGCTGAAGATGAGGATGAAGGTTCAGGTGGTGCAGGTCTTTTAGGATTTCACTCTTAGTAAAGTGATAAAATGTTTTGGTGATTTATCTGGAGTCAATTAAAGCTGTTTTCAATGTCATTATATTCCTATTTGAGGCTATTGGACAGGTTTGTAATTTCTTTTTTACTATTTAATTAAAGTAACATTTCATAGGGTTATGAGTTGGTTTGAGCTACAAGGGGAAATTAGCTTTGACCAGGTTAAAGAACCAGGTCATTTACTCTGTTAATATCTTCCCTACAAGAAGTGAAGTCAGCGACCATTGGTGTTAATACAAAAGAAAACAGTAGTTGTAGCAAAATACCAGCATTTCTTAGCTTATATTGTATGTCTGTGTTCATAAACACAGACACTATAAAAAGATTACCAACAAAGATTAGGAAATAAATTGTGTAGTATGTTCAGCTGTATGTTCAACTTATTTTCCAAATGTAAACAAGAACCATTGAAGGACCATCAAATCAAGTATATTTTTTCTCTTCTCAATCATGTAAATTATTTAAAAAAAATACATGACAATTTTAATTAATGCAGTGAAGGAAATTAGAAAAAAGTTGAATGAGCACCACCTTAATTCATGCTCTTCTTATTTTCACACGTCAAGTTTGAGAAAAGTCTACATTTGACCTTTAACCTGAGTGAGTCCTCTATACAGTCTTTCCTGTGAAAATGGAAATAAAAGAGTCATAACAATGAAAGGGATCATTCAATGGCAGCTTGGATTTGGTACCTCTGGACCTTCACGCCGAGGGTCACATATGGGACTGACATGAATTGACAAGCCTTAAACTTTACACTTGAGACCTCGCTGTGCAACACTTTACTTGATCTGAATACTTGATCGCATTCATGCGCTTAAGGCCACACACTGAAATAGTTAGTAGCGTAGATCCCCTGCGGGTTGAGTCCAACTGCCAGATGTGGATGGAGCAGCATAATTGAAGCAGGCACACATTTCATAAAGCCTCTCTTGATGTGCAGGGTGTCAGTCAAGCATGTTGTCTATGACACACATGTCACATACACAGGTAGGAAAGGGTAAAAAGGAAGGAAGCTAGCAAAGGAAGGGGAGAGTGTAATTATTGAAGATGATGTGTGTTGGGAGGCCTATAAGAATCGACAGCCTCCCCTTTATTTCTCTGATCACTGGTCTAATCCTGACACAGCTACAGCGGGCAGCAGAGCTGCTCCGTCTGCCTGCCAGTCTAAGGGGCAACACGCTGCCCCAGAGTCTGTGTCTGTGAGTGTGTGTTCTCACACACCTATGTGTCTTTGACAGAATGACACAATATTTGTCTGTGGTTAGAAAAGCATTTTTTTTTGTCTGTTAGTGCTGATGTCTGTGTACGGGCAGAACAAGAGAGTGTGAGTGAGTGCTCGCCGCTTAGCAGAATGTGTAGTACAGGCTGATTGCATTGGCAAGCAAATGTGGCTTTTAATGAAAGAGGGAGAGAAAGAGGAAGGGAGAAAGGATGAGAGGAAGAGAGAGGGAGAGAAAAGAGCGAAACAGGAAATTAAATTGATATGTAAATGATGGAAATTCTCATTTGGGCTGAAGGTTGAGGGTGCTACAGCATTAACCAGCTTATGAGTTAATAATGATTCCTCCCCTTTTCCTTCTATTTTTCCTCAGTCTGACCTCCTCCCCACCTCTTTGTCAGAGAAGAAGAGAGTCTAGTGAAAGGAGGAGAGGAGAGATAAAGACAACAAATGTCCCTGGATCACAATTCTCCGGCTGATTTTTCCCCAAAGTCCTTGTATAATCAGTGTCTTCAGTCGCTGGGCTTCGTCATAAAAATACGTTACGACAGGACAGTACCAACTTTTGAAGTACACATCCACTGGATTATTTTGTTTACCTCAATTTCTGTTTCTCTTTCTGTAAAAAATTGCCAGATGGTATTGAACACATCTCAGACGGACGCAGAAGAGATGGAGAGCAAAGGACAGCCTGTAATGGTGGGGAAGCTGCATGTTGCAGGCACAAACAAAACAGAGACAACATCAGCGGCAGCCACAGAGATCACCAGAGGCAAATGACTGCAGAATGATCACTGCAGCTATTATCAACCGCTGGCGTTATTATTATTTTCTCTCCCCTCTCTTTGGCATTAGCTGGAACAAAACAGCCCAGTCAAAAGTCCTTGCCCTGCAGCCGCCACTGATTGGAAAATGATATTAAACCAGACGTTGTGCTGCACTTGTGCAGAAAAAAAAAAGGGGTGGGGGGTGGGGGGGAGAAACACAGAGCTGCAACAAATGATGGAAATGAGGCCCTTCAGGGGAGAGTGAGGGCGGTGGCGAGTCACAAACTCATACTTAGAATACTATGCAGATTCACACAGCCGCAGATGCAAACACACACAGAACACAAGCTACAGCACATGAATTACATATCACACTGACATGTAAGAGAGAGCAACAGCCACCCAGGCTTCCATGACATAAATGCACTTTGATTGGAATTTATAAACCAAAAAACATCACACACAAACTGAAACCACATCAGTGATATTGGTTTGGCTCCAGAGAAGACAGACGGCCATCGCTGTCTAAGGGAATTCTTTTCCTTCTGCAGAAAAGACATTTTCCATCTTTTTACACAACTGGAGAGTTAACCATGAGCAGAGCTTGAGGACAGAGTAAGAACTGCACTGTCATGCCTGAGCCCATCTAAGCTGCATAATACAGTGAGCCAATGGAATCGGATTTACTTCGGGGCCAGTGACAGGACGCCCCCTTGCATTGCAACGCACAGCAGTAGAACCTCGATGTTTGTAAACTGTAGTCAACCGTCCTTAAATGTGGACAGATCAACTACAGTGACAGGGGACAACTACTAATGTAACAGGATAACATTTAAAGAAGAGATCCCAGCACGAGGGCGTCGACTCTTAGATAATTCCCACCACAAAGTAATTAGCCTTCATTTTTATATTTAATAAAAAGATGGCGAGAACTAGAGACAGAGGGGGACCCTGAGGAACTTGACGAGGAAAAATATTAAAGCAAACATGAAAGGAAAAGTTAAATTAAATTCAAGCAACAGGGCAGAAAATGATTTTAACAATCGGAGTTAAGAAGTTCATTGTTTGAGGTTAAACATTCCCCACTGTTTGCTATGCTGTCAGGTTAAATAGAAGGATATGCAGTTATGGAAAATAATGACTGGCATTTCAAAACAATTGAAGTCTTTGGAGTTAACAGCCCTGAAGAGTGGCAGTGGAAGCAGCGGTAACAATAACCTCTGACAACCAGCCAACCAACTGAGAACATTTACACTGAAAGATTGTCAACTGAAGTCACCAACAGGTGTCAGACTCTGCACTGATTCTTACACAGTTCACTCTACATGACTTTGTCTGACTACTATGGTTCCTCACTGAGGTCTAGGTGGCTAGTAACTATCAATGAATTACTTTTTAAACTAACATGCCTTACTTTTTCCAATACCACACATGGTAGGTTATACAGTATGCTGTAGTTTTGTTTAAGTCAGTGGTTGGACATCAAGTCTGGTCAAGCATCTTTCTAAGAATTCATCGTTTTAACATTTTACATCAAAATGACAAAAACACATTGTTTTTATATTAACGTTATATATTGTTCATTAATGTCTCATCCTGTTTAGCATACATACATTTAACTAAGGCAAAACATTTTTCTTTTTGGTTTTCCTCTAACCAGACTGTAGACTGATTTGTTGAGGCCGATCCGATCAACACTTTCTCCCTCACATGTAATGATGTCATATCATTTACTCTACACAATATATTTAGCCACGTCAAAAACAAAGAAGAAACAAAATATCGCCATATATCAAAACATTGTCAAAAGCCAATAATGCTTAGAGGCTTTAGGGCCATAAGGAACAGTACTGTACTCTGAGCAGCGGAGAGTAAGTGCTGTACTTCTGCTGATAAATGGCAAACATCAAGATCCTGTCCACACTTCATATAAAAGGAGAGATTTACCAGACTGTTGTGTGCTCCTGTCTCATAGCCCGCTTTGGCTCATAAAAATGCACATTCTAAGACTTTGGCATTTGTTCTTAAATACCAGTGTTTCTAAGTGAAATCCACATTGATATACTGTGAGCCGACACGGTGGTATATATATGACAACCATACGTTAGTGCTACATTATACAAGAGTATAAAACCCAGGAGAAATGTGTTAAAAGAGGAGGATAAATGAGGACTAATGTGGAGCGGGCCAGTTTGTTAAGACTGATTTATGTTTGTTAACGACTGAACATGGTCTCAGTTCAGTGTCACAATCAAACGACAACAAAAACATCAATGGTGCTAACACATTGTTTATTTATTTTATATATAAGAAGTAGGAGACAGTTCTATGTCCCTTGGGGCCTTCAACTTATTTTAAACATAGTTTAGGGTTAGGGTTATATTGTAGTGTTGAGCGATATTGGCAAACGAAATTAATCCAGATTATTTTTCGGTGTTTTGCCGATAACGATTAATAGATCACAATTGCACTTGAATGTTTTTTACCTCTTCTTCATTCTAATAGGTTAAAACAGTAAGCTGTGACTAGTGACCAATAAGCCAACTTTGAAATATGTAAACATCATAAGATATATTGATAACTCTTGTTTCACAATACACAGACGTACAGAAAGATTAAACTAGAAAAAATATGTTAAAAGACAGTGATTATTTGAAGTTTAAACAAAAGTGTGTCTGTGCAAATTACCCTGCGACTTGATTGTCACATGCCAGTGCTTGTGTTTTAGACAGTGATTTTATTAGTTGTTGCAAACCAACCTTTTCCACCAGGCGGAGTAGCAGCATATCGTTATCAATGCAACATGCCAAAAAACAGATAAGAATGTTCATAAGGAGAAAGTGAAGACTCCACACTCAACTATTTTTGTCCAATGTGGTAGAAAACTAAAAAAACAGATAAGAATGTTCATAAAGAGAAAGTGAAGACTCCACACTCAACTCACGAACTAACTGCTGTGGAACGTTTTGTTTAAATGATCAACTTATTGTGCAGTATTAGTAAAAAAAAAACGACTAAAGTAGTTATGTGATTGTATGTCGCTTGTGAATTTTGATGTGTCAGTAGAGTTCAGCAGTCAGTCGTATAATTATGGTGGTGAATCTAGTGGTCCCTTAAGGTTTTGGCTTGAACTTTAGAACGACTTGAGTAAAAGGTTAAGGCCTGTGCTTTACACGTCCCTCCTCAAATACCTCAGCTTCATCCTACTGAATAAAACAAGATAACAGGGTGTGATGTGAGCAGCAACAAATGACATTAGTCATGAAGTGCCGAAATTCCACACAAGTAGGCTCCACTGGGCCGAGTAGACTGTACAGCATTAAATGGATTGTTTAGCTGGCTAAGCCAACGTTGAGCTGTAAAGTGCAGTGGATAAAGCCTCAATATCCTCTGTTTGCCTATTATTCATCATAAAGTACCTCTACGGAGGCTTCAGCCCAGCTTTACACCACTAAACTTGTCTAGGCTTACTGCTGTCAGACGGAACAATGAAGGAATGACTTTTACGAAGAAGAACTTCTGCCGCATAAACTCAGTGTTTACGTAGTGAGAATGAAGCACGCCCAACTGCAGGGTTTTCTTAGACATCGACTTTTTTCATCTGTAATGTGCAAAAACAAATCTGCTCAGCCGATTTGGAAGATTCTTTTCTACATATTTTATAGTTTATACAGGTGAATAAATCATGAAAACAGTCTTGGTTTCTTTGCTGTTTTATTACCGATGTATTCCTGCTAACGAATGAGACCTAATATACTAGGCAATCCAAACATTTTTTTTAAATAAATCATTTTGTGTATGTGTGGGTTTATTTGCTATACGAGTGGGCCACTTGACCTTCCCCCATCTCCTGTGGTGATCAGATGACTCAGTTTCAGCCTTGCTCAAAGCCAAACAAGTGCTTTACATGATTGCTACAGCTCAGTCCGACATGGGAGTGAAATCTGTGTACCCGGGAGCTGTAATACAACCTGTGTGAATATGTATATTTATGGTGTTAACCTCCATCTGCAGTCACGAGGGGGGAAGATTATTGTAGCTACATCATTACAAAATATCTAGAAAGTAGTTCCTTGAAAGCAGGACATGTTTATCTTCCGGGCCAGATGTGACAGTCAAAGGGATTTCACATCCCTGAGAAGCATTTGGTTTTCCATGTTTGTCTGAAAATGATACTGTAAAATGAGAATTTGCAGGGGCACAGGGAATGAAAGGGATTTGTGTCAAGATTATCCAATCTTCGTCTGATTACCTGGGAAACATGGAGTCGTGTCAGGTAGGGGAGACTGTAATTGTGGGTTTGCAGTTTAAGTTTACTACCGGCGTATGTCTGTGTGCGTACAATGTGCCTGTGTGTGTGCGCCTATGAAAAGCAGTTGCATTTTGTACACACTGATTGACATAATTAGCATTAGAATTGAACCATCAGAACCCACCGCTATGTTGTATGATTATCCCTGTGTATCTTTCAATTCAACTCATCTGTCAGCGTTTACCTTTCTTTGTGGTTCTGCAGGCACCGAGCATCTCTCTGGCTGCAACATGAAAGAGCTGGTCCAAATTGTGGAAGCATTTTGCTGCTGCATATGAAGCAGATCAATGGTCCGCTGTCAAAATGACATTACATCGAAGAGAATGCACTACAACCTTTATTATGATGCAACCTCTCCTTTGAAGAGGAGAGGGTGAGCTTGTGTGTAGCAAATTAATTACGCTTTCCTGAAATGTACTGACTTGGTTCTGTTATAGTTTTATTTATTTTATTTTTGAGGGAGTATTTTAATTTGTGTACTCATCTTCACCAAGTACCACCTGAGACACTTAATATGCTTCAAGCTGGAAGGCATTATTATATACTGGAGGTGGCACATTTTTAAATGAACTAATAAACTCTCTAATAAACTCATCTTTTTGCATTGTGTAGTCTGATTAAAACATAAAAAAATACAATAGAAGTTGAAAAATAAAATTGAAATGAAAAATCTATCGACAGGATATTTGTGGATGTTCATTTTGAACAGGAACGCCTTGTACATGGTGTGTATTCAGATGGCACAGGAGTTTGGTAAGAGAAACCATGTTTTGTAGCAATGTTTGATAGCGTCCTGTCTTTTTAAATGAAGTACATACCTGCCAGGCTGGACAGGAAGTAACATGTGTCGGGACGCGTAGTTGTCCTTGATGCTCTTTTCCCAGTAGGTGACGGGGACAACCACCAGGGCACGCAACAGGTCATCCTGCGCAGCACCGGGAGAGGTCAACCTGTGCCGTGCATAACTGCGTGGCCACATCAAATGTCCCCTTTGTGATTACCGTCCTTGTCACATGGACATTGTCGGCCAGCTGCTCTGCCACCTGTCTGTATGTTAAAAAAAAAAAATAGAGGAAATGAATTAAGAGTTTGTGAAGAGACAGGAAAGGGAAAATGGTCATAGGGATTAAAGGAGATGAGGGAAGTAATTACACAATTGGTAAAAGAAAATTAGAAAATGGATTTTTTTAAATAGTGCTGAAATAGAAATGTGTATTAGAAAGAGTCAGCAAGAGACAAATTGAAAGAGTGAAGTAGAAAGGGACACTGGATATGGATAAGAGCGGAACCATAATAGGGATGCAAAATCTCCGAGAGGTTCAATACATACACGGGCCCCTTGAAATATGTAATTAAATTGTGACAATCACAGGTTCTCCATTGTGATCTCTCCAAGTCAGGAAACCACTACTAGCATGAGATGGTATTCAGGGAAATGATTTCCAAATGCTACAAAAGCTCATATCAGTTTTAATACCTCCCAGCTCCTTCTCTCCTACTGTGGAGGTGGATAAGTCTTTAACAAGATTCAACAACATCTCAGTGCCACATCTCGTAGTGTCTGAGGAGAACAGGTTCATGGTATTCAGTGTTTTTGACATTTCCATTAGTCAAGATAAAAGCAATGCATGAGCCATCTGGAGCAGGCTGAATTAACAGCCTGATGAAGGCATTTAAGCACTGATGAAGCTGTGCACTTGGATATACAGCAAACCCTCTTACAGTTTTGACAAAATAGCAAAACATCATCTCCTTTTTTTTCTCCCCCAGCCCTCCTTCAGCTCTGTTTGCTTTATGAACCTGCTCACAGGAATTAAGCAGCCCTCCCTGGGAGTTTCAAAGTCACAACATTCATTATAGGGCTCAATGGGGCACAACTCTTTCATTAGGGGCTCAGTAACACGTCTCACTGGGGTTCACTCATTATCTGTCGGCGCAGCACCCCACTGCTGGCACATTTGGTTGAAGGGAACGGCGTCCGTGTTGGGCTGGGCCCTGTGTGGTGCTCTCCGCCCGCTACCACAGTTGTGATGGAGCTGTGCTAGGCGAATGTGCTACACATGTTACACAAGTCTGGTGAACAGAACTAATAACTGTGGACTGATGGTAAATCCAAGAAACGAAAAATGAGCATATGATGCTACTGCGTTACTGCACTAACCAGACAAAGCTGCACATCATTGTCCAATTAAACATATGTATGTCATAATTGGAAAACGCTATGGTCTAAATGTCAGAACGCTTCAACCCACCTGCTGCCCTGTTTCCCACCACTAATCTAAACACAAAAGCAGGTGGTGCCTGAGCTCCCTGCAATATTACACCAATGATATCACCATGCAGATTATACAGACGACTGTCTTGTTAAATAATGCAAACAGGCAGGTCCAGAGAAATGTGCCTGTGCTGGTGTGTGTTTGTGGTCAGTGCGCACAAACAACCGCTGTTGTTTCCAAGGAAGACATGTGTCTAAAGACACACACACACACACACACACATACTCACAAACACGGCACAGAACGGAGTACAGGTCACCACATGTAAATGCCAGCAGTGGGTTCCCCTGCAGAGAGTGGTAATTAATTCTAGTAATTCAATTGATGAGATGACAGTGACTGTGCAGGTACACGTGACTCACAACAGCAGTCTCCACCTGGTAACAATTTTCTATCAATGTGAGGTTTTCTTTCTGATTTAACTTCACAGAAATTATCACTGATGTCTAGATTAAATAAAAAACCCTGAAACAGCTGAAAAAAAATATTTCTGGAGTTTCATGTAATTGTATCTCTGCTTCAAAAAAAAAAAAAATTTCATGTAATTGTATCTCTGCTTCAAATTTCCATCGAAAAGAAAACCCTTTTTATTTTATTAGATGAAAGATAAAGAGACGAGTAGTAGGGACAGAAACCCAATTATTTCATCACAAATTACACTTATTGTGGCTCCTCTTTAAACAATGTTTGGACAAAGTGTGATTTGTTGTTAAGTCCCAGACAAATCTTTTTTTTGTCTGGGACCGTATTAAATTATCCAAAAACCTGGTTATACCACACAATGTTCCTGAATACAGCAGTTTCAGGTGTGAAGTAAAATGACAGCAAAAATTTAACAATATCCTACTACTACTGTCCAACTGTTCAAAAGTTTTTTGGTCAGCGACCACGGCCCAGATTGGGATGCAGATGTCATCCTACCAAACCTGAACATGAAAAGAAAACGGCCTACTGCCTCTATTTGAACTGATGTCGCTTCTCTGGGTGTTGTGACAAAATGCATCATCTTCTAATGTAACACTAGCCAGCCAATCAAATACACAGATACGTGGCACAGAGAGCAGTGGAAAAGTCTTGGTAATTCACATGGCGTGGTCAAAAAGAAAAAAAGTGACTTCAGAATGTTCCAAAAACCAGTATTTGATGTACATTCTTTCAAAAGCCTTAAAACCTGTGCTCTGTCACCATGACAAAAGTTTTTGAGCACACTGCTCTAACACACTCATATTAAATCAGCAGTGATGGTGCAGAAAATCTGGCAGCTCCAAACCCATGATCCATAAATCTGCTGGCTATTGCATTAGGGTAAATTGTTAAAGTTGAAAAGTAAAAGATTATTATTTTCTTAAATACTGCAATTTAAAAAAAACAACATGTGCATATTCTATTGTATTATTTTATTAAATTGTATTTAATTGTCAGAAATGTGTTATCAATTAAATCTACTATCTAAAAAGCTGCAGAAATACTAAAAATTATTATTCACAATTTTATGGGTGGAGTTTTCTGGCCCTGAACCCAGAGTGAGCTGGTTTATATTTTGGCTTTTGGATTAGAGAACTTCATCTTCTAAAACACTGATTGTACACTCAGACGAGAGGTTATTATGGCTTAAACTGAACGATATAGCAGTTACATTTTTGTCTGCAATGTTGATAATGCTGCGCTCGTCCTGCATAGTGCCTGTCTGTGGTTAGGACAGCATGTCTATCTTCCTCATTTTTTGTGGATGACAAGGCGTCCTTAACAAACTGATGACTTTACCAGGTTACTGGAACTTTTGTGAGTCTGTCACTTCGTACCCCACCAACGCCAATCATCTTTCTCTGCGGTTTCCATAGATCAGCACAGCTAGACACATGCAGCGCCATAAGTGATCCAACAGAATTACAGTAAAACGTTGAAGGACAACAACTCTGATAAATTCATCTGGTTCACATTGTCAGAACTATCTGGACACAAGAGCTCTCTTTTGTTATTTTGAGCACTGTCATTATTTCTGACAGTAGTTTGGCCTCTTGGGTTTGACGAGAAGAAACTAAAAATATGCAGAAAGAAATCTAACAGTTTCTTAGCCATTGGGATAATCACATGATTACACAGTGTAATTAGGCATTTTACAGGAGAACAATGTGGCATAATTACATGATACAGTGTCTGTACTGTTTTTTTCTTTTTTTAGATTTGCTGGCTATTGTTTCTAAAGAAAAAATGATCTTGTGCTCAAGCTGTGGCAAAACATACAAAAGTTTTTTTTTTTTAAAAGAAAGCTCCAGACCATTAATACTAATAATCACTGCTGGATATGTTTTCACATTCATTCCTTTTATCTGTATGTGTCTCATACTCAGCAGCCAAACACTCTACAGCAAAGCATTGTTTGAAATATTGTTTCAATAGAGGAGGGGGGTTTTATGCATAAAGAAAATTTAGGGTGTAGACTAGACAGTAATGTGGTCAGTGGTCAGTTCAAGGAAAAGTGATGGTTTGAATCCAGGATCCAACAGTAAATATAATCATGAAGAATAGAAAACTGCCCCAAATCTATCTGACAGCTGAGCAGATATACTGAATGATATAAAGCGTTGGGTTTTACATGACTTCATACTAGAATGTGATCAAGCCATTCTGGTTCCCTTGGCAAGATCAAGGTTTAGCAGCCCCCTCCCACAATTCACCACTGGACATATGAAATGACACCCCCCAAAAAAAGAAAGAAACCTTGCAGCGCAGGTTTAAATCAAAGTCTGTTCCAGTGACAGAAATATTATTTTCTTTTATTATTTGTTTGGTACCAGGAAATGGTACCAGTTGGGATTAAAACTAAGACAGAGTAGCAGGAAATGGTACCAGTTGGGATTAAAAATGTTTTTTAATGCATTTGTAACGCTTGTGGCATTGTCCCCTCCAGCAGATGGAGCCCAAAGCAACTTCCTATCTGGCTAATGCTTGGAGGGAAACATTTTTTACCTTTGTTTTAAAAAACAAAACAGCATGTTACAAAATGAACATTTTAAACATTAGAAGTTCAAATAAACTCCTAAACCACATGTCCTTCGTCCATACACATATGGTCTATGCATGCATGTACTGTAGTAGTTAGGTTAATGTTTACCTTCAGGTTGGGCCTCCTGGGATCAACCAGAGGGACTGTGTTGTGAAAAAGCTTGTAGTGTACATAACCTGAACCACACCACCTGAAACAGTTTAGAAACATGACATAAAAAGGTCATACACTGGAAAGGTAAAGAAAATGTCAGAACAAAGTCTGTTTTTCCCCCCCTGTGTGTTTCTGCTTTTCTATGTCAAGCTGAAATGATTATTTGTCATCATGATAGCTGCTATAACCTTATGAAATGTCAGGTTACCACACAACCGACTAAAGTCATGACAAGCGAACGGCTTTCGTCTTCGCCGCTAACTTCTGATCTTGGAGATTGACAGATGCAGCTCTTGGCTGGGGCAATAAATTATTAGTGGGCAGAAAGAGCTGCGGGCAGACAAAAAATTCTAGGAAAAGTTAAAAAAAAAAAAGTTAAAAAAAATGGCGGAGTCAACAGCTGCATGAAGTATTTATCTTTCTGGAACCGATATGTCCTCCTTCAGTCTTCTTGCACTTACTGCTTCACTTCAGCCACCTCACTCTTCAAAGCCCACAGCGGCTCAGGCTTTATTGAAACTTTGCTTTAGTTTCCCAAGTTGTTACCTTCTAAGGGCTGTGTGTAATAAAGGTTATTGAGGAAAGTAGCAAAGGAGGGTTAGGGAACGCGAGAAACCGCCCGTAACAAAAGAAAAAGCCTAGGCTGTACGTAGTGTGATCTGAGGTTGAAGAAATTAGATAAGTTGACAGTGATCAATAACATTAATATGGGCTGCTGCAGGCTGCCTGCTTCAGTCCGAGCAAATAACTGCTGCTGGAAAAAGACAGCATTGATGGAGTAGAGCTACCATCTGATATTTGGCTTTTAAAAGTTTCAAACTGTTTGCCAGGAGAGTCAGAAATCCCACTTATTAAATATGGGCTTAAGGTTACACTGATTTGTACAAAATATTCTGTGATTTATAGGAACAGGTTCATCCTAGAAAGATTTTAGAGCAGACCATGCTGCTGACGTTTAGCCAAACTACAGCAGTCACTTTAGCTGAGCTTGTCCCTGATACTGTAGCTCCACAAAAAAATGGAAAAAAGATTTTATAACAATAATAACATTAATAATAATGACAACATGGTGGCCACAAGAAACACTGAACAAAAAGTTAACTGAATACTGTGTTCTTATGGAAATTAAGAACTTGGGTAATTCATTAAAACACAGCATTTCACTGAAGTGTTTAGTTTAATTTATTTAATACAATTTTAATTTACCAAATCAACCTTAATGATCTCGAAATTAAATGTGTTTAATTAAAAGGGACAAAGCTAAGCAACTAACAAAGTGCACAAGTTTGTGCCCAAGTGCTACAACGTTAAAATTGCATGAGTGGAAACACATTATTTACCACAGGTGAGGCCACAGCGTCGAACACAGGTTATTGGAACTATTCTTCTCGTACTACTTTAGGGTACAGCGGTAGTGTAGTTAACCTTCACTGAACGAGGTTTCTGTTGTTGTTGTTGTTGTTTAATGTTTCTCAACACTTTCTCTGCGTGTAGACACAATCATCGTTTGAAAACAAAAATATATAATACGTTTAATTTTGCAGCATCTAACAGTTGCAAACTCTTCATGATTAAAATATACTATAGTTCAGGCTTGAATACACTAACCTCAAACGGATGCAAAATAAACCAAAATTTCACCCACTGCCAAAACAACAATGAATAATACTACACCACCGTATTCCAAACACACGCAAAGTAAAATTATCATACATTACCTTTGTGTAGAAATGGCTTTCCGAATATGCAGAAAACTCTGTTAAAAACGTTTTAACGATCGTTTCTAAAGAAATAAAAAGTCAACTACTCCTCTGAGCGTGGCTCTTAACGAGTAATTGGCGTCAGGTGCGTGTCTTTCGGCACCGTTGTCGCGAGATCTCGAAAACAAAATCACGCAACAACAATAATATTAACAACAAAAACAAAAACAACAACAGCAACAACAACAATAATAATAATAATAATACGAGAGATCACATTTTACTCATTCAGCGGTATTAAAAATGGACACAGATAAGGCATACTGTAGAAATGCGTCTCCAATACATGTCTTATTTCGTGTGAATAATGCAGTGACTCATTTCTGTCTATGACCAAAACGTTTTTACCTGACACTAATTAACCTGGTTAAGAAGACAGCAACAGTAAACCGGCCCAATATAAGTCGCTATTTTTGTCGGACAATACCGTCACTGCCAAAGTTAATGTTCACTCTGGTTTAGCCTTTATATATGTGCGTTATTATGTGAGGCTCTGTATACTTAAGTCCATACACCTACGGAGAAATGAATCTGGCTTCTTCGAATTAGATAATTAGCTGCTGAGTCATCTGCAGTCTCAGGGAGGCAGAGTGTGCCTGTGAGAAAAAACCAAAAAAAAAAAAAAAACCCAACGTGAACTCCTGCATGAGCCATGTAAACACTTGTTAGTTTAACATATGTCTGAAGGCTATTTTGTTATTTAAATAGTTGGGGTTCACTTCATTTTAATCAAGATGCATTTATTCCTGTTCTTTTCTCCAAAGGAAAAGAACTAACAGGCATCCTATTTTACCTATATAAAGGTTTTCCTTTTGTTTTTTCATTCAAATTAAATAAATCCTAAGGTTTTTCTTTTGTTTTTTCATTCAAATTAAATAAATGACGATCGTTTTATTGATTGCCACGAGAGGAAAATACAGTATCAGAGCAAAACAAATATGTAGTAAGGATGTGCAGAGGAGTGAAAATGGTGTGAACAGGAGGACTGTGTCCTTTCATGTCAGTGTGATCCATTATTTCAATGCAACGACTGGTTGTTTCGGGGTTTTTTGACCAACTTTATAAGATCAAGGTGAAAACTCTGGTTGTTTCGTTTTTTTTTTTTACCAACTTTATAAGATCAAGGTGAAAACTGTGGAGCCCCTGAAGCAACCCCATCAGCAAGTGAACCCCCAGGGGGGGCACAGGTACAGTACTTTTCTGATTCTCTCCTAAGGCACCTTGCTGTAACTGCAATGACTCTTTAATGGTCTTTTGCTGTTCCTTCTTAGCCGGGCCGATTGAATCAGTGGGTCGAAGCAGCCCTGTCATTGTCCTTCTCTTACACAGTCATCTAAGAAAGAACATACATTTCAATAGTAACAAAAAGACACGCTTAGAGTAAAATAGCACAGCAGAGCTACATACAAAGAACTATTTTCACTTAAATGACTACCTGTGATTAATCTAGAGTTTCTAGACCATGGGAATGAAACCATGTAGGAAAACCGGAAAGTGGAATCTGGTTGGATGAAACAAAATTTCAGTATTTACTAAACAAGTGTTTTTAGGCTGATCCTGTAACTTATATCTCTAAAAATGCCCCCCCACCCCTCAACATCTACTGCACTTTCTTAAAACAACAGAAACTTTCTCACCTTCAAGACGAGCACAACTAAAATGCAAAGACAAAACCATACAGTAGAATTTAAGTATGCAGCCAAAATGGTAATGGAGCAGCGCAACAGACCATTAGAAGAATCTTCCTCTGGAGTCTGTGAAATTGTATAGAAACAACATTGAGGATGAATGGTTTCAGTTTCAGCGACGGGTAAGAACGAGAACTTGTGGAACTTGTTACCCTGTAACATTAATATATAATACATTTTCTAAGGCCATTTTTTTGACAGCTGCAACATTACACTGTTGAGTATGTAGAACTGTTAGGCGAAATAGATGAAGAATGACCGAAGCAACTACTTAAAAACTACAGTGCTGCACATGCAGGATTGTGCTCTAATTTATACCCTTATCAACCTTATCAACTTGCAAAACCCAAGACACACATCTACAGTGGAACACCAGTTGCCCAGTGACGTATCCTCATCTTTTTTGGTCCAGAGGCTCCACATGTCTCATTTTTTCCCCTTGTCATATTCTGTCTGCTTTCCTGCAAACGGATGCGGGCATGCATGTATTTGTCAGAGTTTTGCGCTGGATATAAAGTGAAGGTGAGTCAGCAGGGAGCTGATGTCAGAATGAGCAAGATTGATGTGCTCACAGCGGACAGCTTCGGATCTGCTTGTCTGAATTGCGCTCCAGGGTTTATTCTGTATAGGGTAGACCTGTGGTATAGTGCCCTTTACAAGACTGCTGCGCGGGGGGCCACTCAGGAGGGGTCATCGTGGTAGCTTTAGTCACACATAAGTGCACACGTGAGCGGTACAGCGACACGCTACGCGCACAACACACACTGTTGCTGAGCAGACCTGTGCAGAGGGCTAAATTGGGAACAAAGCTCCAGTGTGACAAACAGCTGTGTGTCTAGACTCTCAGCCATGTCACACAGTTATATTTTCACATCCACTGCTCGACTGTTTTTTCCTGTGGTTTGTTCCACATCGAGGCACGAATGATTGCAATGTACTCGAATAAAAAAAAATATTTTCAAAGGAACAAGAGAAGGTATTTTTGCCAAATAAATGTAATTATAAAAAGTATATTTTATTTCTTATTCTGTCCTCAAGAAGAAAGAAGAGGAGAATAACACATTATCCACAAACCTTGAGTGAGTTTGTTGAAAAAGGTCACGTGTTGCTGCTACAAGCAACAATTGATGCTTTAAAGCAACAATTCTGGGCTTTAAAACTGCTCCCACGTACCCTTGGTGCTCAATGTCAACTAATTTAGTTTGGTGTAGGAGTGAATAAAGTGCTGTCAGAAAAGATGGAGCTGCACAGCTGCCTATCTATTTTTATATTAAAAGCGCGTTTGATTGATTGGTACGTACCAGGATCAGGTGGAGACATTGATTAATGTCGCAGGGGGACGAAGTGACCAAAAGCTAAATCCAAATTTAGAAATGCATGTCTTTATGAAATAAAAAAAAAAAAGACACACTCTATTCACCCATTCACAGACAAGTACACAAAGTACAATCAATACCTCTTTGATGGAACCAATCTAAATACCAAAACTTGAAGTCGTCACGTTAATGTCACACCGCGTCGGTCTTGTTTATTTCCGACAACATGAAGGTAACATTGATCTCTGATGGTATTAGGAGATTAAAAGGTTCCCCGTCCTCTGTGTTGTTGACACGCGTTGTAACTCATTATAGCCATTAGCATTAAGCTGGCTCATCGATAAGCACTTGGCTGATCCATCAGTATTCTACACCTCCAGCTCAGGAGACTCTCGTCTTGGCTGCGGGGAACTGTGTGGGCATCACTAATGTGTTGGTCTTTGCAGAAATACACACTCTCACACACACACATACTCCCTTACCTGCTCTGGTGTCACTGAGAGTTATTAGTGGTGAAAGTTCTGTGCTGATGTCAGCGTGTTAGTGTTTGTCAGTGTACTTGTTTGTTATTATGTCATGGCTGTGTGTGTCCATGTGTCTGTTTAAACACGAGTGCGAAGACAGAAACAGAAGCAAGTTCCTCAAAGTCGGTGCTTTTGCTGCAACAGCCAAGCGTCGTCACAGCTGACCTCTTGGTCAGTGTTGCTCTGGGAAAGTGTCACAGTCGGTGTAAGTCAGTCAGGATGTATTTCATGACAAAACGCAGTCGTTTATATCCTGACTTTACAAAAACCCAAAAGAGGCCTACATACTGGAATGTTTGAGTTTTAAATTGTGTATAATGCAGGAAGTTTGAACCTGCATGTCAATAAAAAAGTCAAGCCATATATTTCCTAATAAAAGAGAAATTGCTTTTTGAAAATAAAAAGCAATACCCCCTGGTCTTTGCAACAATATGTATTATACATAAGACTAATTAACCAGATTAGAATTTTAAATTTATTTTAACGCATGGGCATGGGCACAATGAGACGTGCTGAATATATGATATTTTAAACGTCATTGCACCTATCGTTGCTCTAACACAGTGGTTCTCCAACTTTTTCGACTCTGTACCACCTGAGAAAACATGGAGCTCTCTGAGTACCACCATGATGACCAACATTAGAATATAGAATATATATATGAATTTTCCCCACGTACCACTAGAGAGCACTAACATACCACTGGTGGTACGCGTACCAGAGTTTGAGAACCGCTGCTCTAATACATAGCATTAGCACTACATCTCCCTGAAGCAACTCAAAAACATCATGTCATTATATATTCTAAATGTCACAAAAATATGTTTATACGGCAGGAAGAGAACAACTAATAACAGCATTTATGTGTGTGTGTGTGTGTGTGTGTGTAGAAACCTGTGCTTACACATGCAGGACAGCAGATTATAGAGGTAGAAAAATCGGTAGACAACAACTGGAGGCTGACTAGAGCTCATCATGGAGCGGCTCTCCTTCTACATGGTCCAGGGCTCCCATCAACAGCAGAGCTCCTGTGACGTTGTCTTTGACTAAGATGATGAACGGGTGGTCAGCATAGAACAGTCTGGGCTTTTCAATGTTCTCCTCCTCAAGATCTGCCTCTTCTTTCCCAGAGTGTGCTGCCAGCTCCATGGATGCCCAGTGTAGAACGTTTCCCAGATGAAGTACACCTTTACCCCCGGCTGAGACACCGGAAAAATCAGCCACCTTTGGATCCCAGGCATCGGTCAAGCCCAGGGCAAGCAGATGTTTCTGGAATTAAAAAGAAAAAAAAAAGGTGAATTGAAATAACAGTTCTGCCTATGGGTCTTTTTACATGGAGACATCCTTCAAATATATGCAAGCTGGCAGCAGTAAGAGCAACAATCAATTATGTACAGCCGCCCCAAAAAAACAAATCAAACAATGGGTGGAAGGGAAAGCATGCTTTAAAAATTTCATCATGCTGTGATACTTAGGACTGGGGCCATACACTGTCGTACCACAACCCCGCCACATGAGGTAAACACAATGCACCCCACGGAAGAACCTCCCCATGAACTGCTCCGGAGGAGTTTTTCACTGCGATGTTTATTTACTTTCTATCTCAAGAATTCAACGATGGGAAGGAGCGTGACAGTTGCCCTTGTTGTGAGCTGGCAGAACAAAGTGGGCGACAGGCAGAGAGGAGAGACGGAAGGAGGGGGGAGGCGGAGGATGAATAATTTAAGAGTGATGCCCTGTGACCCCGGCACCCCCTCTGTTTTGCCTGATATGAATTCCACAGAAAGGCGTCGTCATGACAGGTAGTTTATCCTTCCGTGGCAGAGGGCCACTCACAGTGACAGGCTCCTCCAGGGGCCAGATGAGAGCACGTGTGTGTGTGTGTGTGTGTGTGTGTGTGTGTGAGCCGCGGCGAGAGGAAAAGTTGCAAAAGACAGATGAGGGGGAAACAGATCTTGTTTTCCACTGTAGCCCTGTTTGAAGTTCAGCTGACTACCATTCTTAGTTCTGCTGGCTGACAAAGACTAAAAGGAGCCGCTTTCATAAGTTGTCTGGGTTAATGCAAGTGCTCTGCAGGTGCTGACTCACAGAAAAGGACATTCTTCTCACACCACAGCCACGTGCATCCTTTGACTTTGTTTCAAAATCACACACAAAGTGTCAGCTTTTCAGTTGAACGGTTGAAGTCTGCAGGCAGGAAGAAGCTGAATATAAAAGTTTGAGGAGTTTTAAGTTTAGGTAAAGATGAACATGAAGCTCATTCTGCCCCCTATAAGATTAGATGATAAGACAAGATAAATCATTTTCACACAGGGGGACGACACATTACATCGGTGTAGACACACAATAAAAAAGAATAATGGTTCAAAAAATGACTACTTATAACAGATTAAAAAAAACACAGCTGGTAATGGACTTATTTTTTACTTATTTTTTCTAAATGACACACTAATGGATTAATCATCACTAAACGCATTACAGTACACATCAAATTTCCAGGTGGCAATAAAATCAACAGGGTGAAAACAAATACTTTAAAATGAGTATTAGGAATGGCAATACACAGTGACCCACAGTGTGAAAACATTTCTACTAAAAATAAGTAAATCTACAGAGTGTGGTTTGGAAAGGTAATGAGTGGCAAATGAGATAACAAAATCAAATAATTAAATTAAAAGGCCCAGGAAGGTGAGTGGGTTTTGTACATAGTTGCCAAGTTACTGTTACAATACTTTTGCACCTGAGAACAAAGTGGCAATCAAAAGAAACAGATACAGCTAAAACTGCCGCCACCAGGTGGCACATCAACGATAAGTATGCAATTAAATATTTAGAACTGTTAAACACAAATTGTGGCTAATATTTGCTAAATGAAGGTTTAATTTGGAGAATAACTAGCTGGGCTACAGAGAGTTTTGAATGAAAGTCTGTCATCTGTAAGAGTTTCTGATTACAGTGGAACCTCGAGATATGACTATTTCGAGATACGAGCAAGCCCTCGAGCAAATATTTTCAAGATACGATTAAAGATTTGAGATACGAGCACGCTAACAGACGCCGACGCTAGGTGGCCGAGCTCTTGGAGCAGCCTACGCCGCCTCACTCGTTCACTTCACGTGTTCATCGACTTCCGTACACATCGCTTCCGTACGTAGCGTTATCAACGTGATTGTCTCTCTATTTTGTGCATTATTCTTCATAATAGTGATGAGTCCTAAGAGGGTGAGAGGGTAAGGATGGGTAAGGTGGTGAGAAGAAGAAACGCATGATGACCATGGAAATAAAGCATGGTGCCCGCTAAAGAAACAATATAAATTGAAAAAAAAAAAAAACGTAAGTTAATTCTAAGTTTGTGTAAGTTACGGTACGGAAGTGTCTATGTACGGGCCAACTCTCCTTCCTTCCTCTCTCCCTCCTCCTCCTCCACACATGCCGCCATTAGCTACTACTGTATCATCTCTCTCACAGGTAAGAACTAATAATTAAAATCAAATTTCATTTTATATCACAGGAATCCTTATATACTATAACTTTTGTTTCTATGTCTCTGTAGCAATTAAAAACCATTGTTTTTTCCATTGTTATTAGCACTAATAAGGGAGTTTTTTAGAGGGTCGGAACAGATTAATTTTTATGGGAAAAAATGATTTGAGATACGAGCACCTCGAGTTACAAGCTTGGTCCTGGAACAGATTATGCTCGTATCTCGAGGTTCCACTGTAATTGCCCTTTGGGATTCACTCAGTTTCACATCGCGTGTTCCTAAATTACCACGCACTAGGCCATTCTGAGGTCATGCTTGGGCCACATCGGGTCCTCGAGCCACCATTTGAACAACACTGATCTACCGTATGTCGAGCTGAAGGCACCTATCACCTCCTCACTACAGTTCTCTCTCCAAACACCACTAACTGTCTAATGCACTTGCATTGTCCTCATTCATTATTGCTACTCTCCTTCTTCCTCCCTGTCCTGAAAAACCACTACATCACTTTCTTCCTCTGCTGCTCTGCCACTGGCCTGGCGTCCCTATCCCTCAGCAGCCCCACATTCCTCTATTTTATCCTTAATCTCTAACTGCTTCTAAGCCTTTTCCCTCTCTGCCAACATCCATCTTTCCCCGTATCACGCCAACACGCCTGGTTATACATTCATCTTGCAACTGTTTTTCCACTGTCTATGGATTTGAAAAAGAGAAACAAATTTAAACTAGTCCCTGAATGTGTGAGAAAAAAGCCAGAGTAAGAAATGCAACTCTATCATCTCCGTTTTCTCATTCTCTTTAACTGTACCGTTGAAGACGCCGTTTATTAGACTATTTATACCGTGAGAGGAGCACACAGTAAACAACGAGCGTCCCCACATGACCTGCAGTTCCTCTGGTATTGTGTGCATGTCAAAGCGAAAGCAAATGCCTAATGTTTTTTTTAAGGCTATAAAGTCTTTAAAAATTAAGAGAGTGTGTGGCAGTGTGCTGGGGAACATTCCAGAGGTGTTAGAGGAGCCTATGAAGGACTCATGCACTGCAGAGGTGTGGCACCGCATTATATGGAAAGAAGAACCTCTGGGAGATGCTCTTTGGCTGCCCTTTCCCTGTAAAGCACCGCATGAATCTTAGATGGAACAGGGCTGGGACAGCTTTGCTGATGCCTCACAGAGAGCATCAATGAGGAATTTGTCTGGAAGTGAGAGCCACAGGCGCTGTCAGCTGGTGGGTTCCACTATATGTAAGTCAGTTTGTGTTAGTGTGTGTGTGTGTGTGTGTGCAGCCCACTTGGCCCGCAGCAGTGAAAACCCGAGCAGACCTGAGGTGAAGTAGCATCGACCCCGGGGCTAACAGCGGTCGGCGGCACCAAAATATTTCAACTGTTGGTCTCACTAAGTCATCTGGTTAATACAAATGTGGGGGTTTTTTGGTATTATTTTTTGTACGTTGTGTTTGTTACTAACTAGAGCACACTGATCATTTCTTAAATTAGTTAACCCCGTGTGTTCAACCTAGGGGTCGCAACCACAGGCGGGGTCATCTAGAATTCATTAGGGCTCGCCTGAAATGTTTAGTAATAACAACAAATACTTTAAAAATGTTTTGTCAACTAATTATTATTCATTATCATATCATAAAACACACATAATCTTAAAAAAAGTCTCTGGGGTTGCTATAAATGTGTGATGTTAAAAAAGCCAGAAAAAGGTTGGGAACCACTGAGTTACTGCCTGGATCAAAATCCACAGAAACATGCATGTAATACAAATAAATAAATAAAACTATTACCATTAAATTATAAATATATTGATTTTATATTTTAAATACACCAAACAATATACATAAAACATCACAGGACACCTACTGTAATACATCTCCCAAACTATGTGCACTGCTTAAATGAGCCAACACCTGACCAAGCCCGGTGTAAATAAATAATTTCTTATCTTCAGTGCTCCAGGACAGCTTCGACCTACACTGTAGTTCGCCAGAAAAAGGAAGGGAATAGTCCTTTTGTGCTGTCAATCCATTCATCCTATTTCAATACTGCCCTCAACATTGTGCGTTGGTGGTTTTCGAGCATGCGGTACAGCAGCACTGGCATCATCACAGCTCCATTTCACAGACCTATTCAATGCTGCCATCAAAAAGCCTCCTCTCACTCTCTCACCATCAGCTCTCAAGGCTTCAAAGCCCCTCCAGCTATTTATTCAGTCTCATCACTGATACTCCTATTGGTTTCTTATTTACATGGGCTTTTTCAGCTTCTGCACAGTCACTGCATCCATTTTTATTCACCTTTTTTTCACAACTGAATATAAAAATAGCATCACTTTTTACTAATGTATTTAACAAATAACCATGTATCACATCTGAATCACATAATGGAGGGCTGTAGTAGCTGTGTTAAAACGGCCGCCCCTCCACACTGTAAACTGCAGAGGACGCTCTTGTAAATATTTGATGGCCTTTTGACCTCATTAGCCATGATTGAGTGAGCTCTCCTGAGTGCACTCATATGTCTTAGTCAACAACGGCAGATAGAGCCAGAATGAGGCTCAAGCCCGGCCATTAGTCAGTATCTGTGTGTGGCCTGGTCAGCACCGGGTCACAGAAAGACGAAGGGAGGGAAGGAAGGAGGGAGGGAGTGGAGGTGTTTACTCGGTAATCTCTGGACCAGCCTTGTAAAGAGGATTCTCCATCTCTGACTACAGACTGCAACACCGCCTGCCCTTGAACAGAGGTTAATGCCACAAAAAGAGAAGCACGCAGGAGGAGAAAA